TCCCCCTAATATTGAGTAGACCCCCCTTTTCCTGACCGGTCCAGGCATGGACTCTACTAGACCCCTGAAGGTATGCTGTGGTATCTGGATGATCCCCCTAATATTGAGTAGATCCCCTTTTCCTGACCTGTCCAGGCATGGACTCCGTAGACCTCTGAAGGCTGGGCCTTGGTTGGCCTTGTGGGAAATCTGGCCCTGACTACGATGAGTACCTGGTCTCAACCTCCTGCATTCCCCTATACAGCAGACTGGAAGCCAATTGTGCTGCTTGCAAGTGTGCTGTCAAGTAACATGCTGATAGGAGGAAAAGCAGAGGGAGCAGGGAGATGTCCTCATCAGCCTGCTGCTCTTCCATTGTCCAGTCAGCAGGCTGAGGGTGGATAGAGAGGACAGAGGATAAATAAATAACTGAATAAGCCGGTTACTACTTGAAAATGCAAATCTCTAGTGGCCTCTTTTATAATAAGATACATACCTTCGGCTTTACTATCATCCACTAACGAGCAAGCAGTGCGTAGGGTGACCAGGCTTTGGGCTGAGTGTCTTCCATGAGTATCCACAGCAAATAAACTGAACCTGTGGGGTGAAAAGAATATAAGTAAGCTTTTCGTTGACGTTAAAGTGTATCTACACCCAAAACTAAAAATATAATATATTGCAGCTTAACAGTCTTTAGATGGGGTGGCCGCATTCGTTTTCCTTTTAAGTTGAACTAAGGTTACCATTATTCTCCGTTTGGAGAGGTCTGTCCATGGGAAAGAAACGTCGCCGGTGAACTGCAGGCCAATTTTATACATGCTGTGATGGCTGCCTCTAGGATTTTGTGTCACTTACTACTGACCCCTGAACCCTGCGTTACTACTGACCCCTGAACCCTGCATTACTACTGACCCCTGAACACTGTGTTGCTACTGACCCCTGAACACTGCGTTACTACTGACCCCTGAAACCTGCGTTACTACTGACCCCTGAAACCTGCGTTACTACTAACCCCTGAACACTGTGTTACTTACTACTGACCCCTTACTATTTACCCTTTAATCCTGTCTTACTACTGACCCCTTACTACTGACCCCTGAACCCTGCATTACTACTGACCCTTGAACACTGTGTTGCTACTGACCCCTGAACCCAGCATTACTACTGACCCCTGAACTCTGTGTTACTACTGACCCCTGCGTTACTACTAACCCCTGAACTCTGTGTCACTTACTACTGACCCCCGAACACTGCTTTACTACTGACCCCTGAATTCTGCGTTACTACTAACCCCCAAACTCTGTGTCACTTACTACTGACCCCTTACTACTTACCCTTGAACACTGTGTTGCTACTGACCCCTAAACCCTGCGTTACTCCTGACCCCTGAACCCTGCGTTACTACTGTCCCCTGCGTTACTACTGACCCCTGAACTCTGTGTCACTTACTACTGACCCCTCAGTCTTCGTCCTCCCACTGTATGTGACCTGTACATTAACCCCTTCACATAGCACACCCGTACACTGAGCTGAAGTGACCCCTTCATCTCCATCCTCGCACTGTATGTAAGCTGGACATTAACCCCTTCTCCTCCACCTTCCTCTGCGTATGATCCATACATTTATTGTATCTAGTACTATACTTACTATGTAACTATGTAACTAGTGCACCATTACTAATAACGGTACAATTTTCCTTTATATAGTAAAAAAAAAACACAGTTATTAAATACCACCAGAAGAAATCTCTGTCGGTCTAAAAAAAAAATGATACAATATAAATTTGGATACAGCATTGCATGACGGAGTAATTCTCAGTCAAACTGTTACAGCCCCTGAAAACTGAAAAAATGGCCGAGTAATGAAGTAATGAAATGGTTAAAAATCAACATTCTATTATTCCTGTTCACATTACAACTTTATTAAAATCACATTTCACAATATTACGCGCCGTTACATTCAAAAAAAAATAATCTCTTTTTCATTATATAAAATGATCCCCGAGTACAATAACCTCCTACGGTCTCAGAGCCTCCTGCTCGGCTCGTCTAAATTGTATCTACTGATTAGTCTAAAATATTCAGTAATCTTTCAATTTTCAAGGCGATACTCGCTGAGGGATGAGACCGCTTCTCGCCGCGTTTTCCAAGATATTAAAGGAGAATTATGAGGCGTGTGATTTTCACTCAGCCTCATTATCTGAGCCGACCTGTGACAATGAGACTGTCACAGGTCCGCTCAATAGATCGGGAAGTGAGGGAACACATACCGTCGCTCGCTCACTTCTCGATCATGTCCCAGAAGAGAGCCGTGACTGTCACTCACGGCTCCCCCTCCTCGCTTCGATCCTCCAGCGCTGACTGGCGAAACGGACGGGGAGGGGGCTAGTACAGCTGGCTTTGCCTCTGGATAGGTAGAGCCAGCTGTCACTCACGCAGCTGGGTGGATCTCAACAGTAATGTCGGGATCCGTCCCGGCTGCGGCGTCTCAGTATACCGGGAGCTGTAGCTCGCTATATACTGAGCTTTGGGTCACGGGAGAAAGCTAGTTTGTGTTCTCCCCTGACCCTGAGGAGAACTATGGGGAAAAGCCCTGACCCCATAGTTCTCCTTTAAATCTTTGTCTTAAGTAGATAAAGAAGAGATAGAAGATCTTTTTTTTTTTGCATTTTGCTCGTATGTCTGCCACCTACAATGCTGTTTTAACACCTCTCTCTGGGCAGGTTATTAACACCTCCTAGACTCCAATTATGCAAATGCAATCAACACCTGGTTGTGCCTAACAGATAATGTGGATTGGAGAGAAATTCACCATATGTAGTCCCAGATAATTTTTGTACAAGTCATTCTGAATTGAGAAAGCTAGTCGGATGTCTAGTGAAATGTCTTCAAGAAAAATACAACAAGTCCAGTTGCCTTGACTTATTTTTTACAGATATACTGCCATAGCGAAGAACGTGGTCGCTATGGGGCCCGGGGCATAGGGTCCATGTCCCAGCAGCAGCAGAGGTGGAGGAGGCTGGGGCCCAGCACCGCCGGTCACAACGGAGGAGGAGGAGACCGGGGCCCTGCAATGGCAGTGGAGGAGGCCTGGACCCAGCAGCACCGGTCCAGTATCAGAGGTGGAGGACGCTTGGGCCCACCAGCGTCAATCCGGCAGTGGAGGTGGACAAGGCCAGGGCCCAGCAGCACTGGTCCCCCAGTGGAGGTGGAAGAGGCTGGGAACCAGCAGCAGGCGGCTCTGGGCTGACAGGTAATAGCAGCGCAGTGTGCAGGGAAAGAGACTCCAACCAGCCCACCTGAGACCCTCCGGAGCCCACCACAGAGGGCCTCAGCTGAACTGTGCAGGATCTATGGTGGGCTCTGCAGAGTCACTCTCAGGTGGGCTTTGCCAAGTCACTCTCAGGTTGGCTGTGTGGGGTTTTAGGTGGGCTCTGGTATGTGTTGGGTCTCAGGTGGGCTTTGCGGGGTCTATTGTGGGCTGTGCGGGGTCTCTGGTGGGCTCTGCAGAATCTCAGGTGTGCTCTGCAGGGTGTCAGGTGTGCTCTGCAGGGTGTCAGGTGGGCTCTAAAGCAGTGAGCGGCGGAGTGATGTCTTCTTTGGCTCTGACATTAGAGCCAGCAGGAGCAGAGCTGAAGAGAAGGAGATGGAGACACCACAGGCACGGGAACGTGTTCTGGAGGTAGATACAAAATTGTGCTATGGAGCCCTGTGACGCCCCTGGGTTGGGTGCTGGTAACTGGCAGTCAGGGGCAAAGGATTACCATCAATGTCCAATGCAACGTGTGCAATGTTCAACATTGGCATGGAATCCCTATTGCTTTTGCTGTAATCAATGTCCAATGCATCTGTGAAGGTTCTCATTCATCCGGGTCATGGTATATCTGTAGAAAATAAATCAAAGCAACTGGACTTGCTGTATTTTTCTTAAAGGCATTTCGCTGCTCATCCGACCAGCTTTCTCAATTCAGATTGAAAAAAGCTGGTCCGATGACCAGCAAAACGCCTTCGAGAAAACAACAGCAAGTCCAGTTGCTTTGATTTATTTTCTACAGATAAATGTCCAATGCATTTCACCAAAAATAGCAACATTTCCATACTAGGGCCTTTCAAAGCAGTGCAATCTGTTATAGACATTCACAGGCAATTATAGTTTTATTACCTTCATAATATAATTTCCCTCCACCCTACTTTGTGTGTTAGACTTCATCTCATCTTACTTGTAAAGACTGTCTGCCTCCAGGCACTTGAAGATGACAGAGTAGAGGTTTTTGTCTGCAGTTCCACCATGGCTCCTGCCAGCTGAAATACAAGCCGTGCCCAATCCAGACAATAAATCATCAGTGAGGCTCAGAGACTCCCCTAGAAGAGACACAAACAGAGGCATAAAGATCCTCTAAATAATAAATCGATTCATTTTCTAAGTGTGAGATATCTGAGTGCCATTCTGAATATCTTCAAAATTTACATTTATTCTAAAATGTGTGGGAAGGAACTCCTCCTCTTTTAAAGTGGTACTACGGCCAAAACAAAGAATATTAGCATAGAAATTAGGGATGCACCAATACCGAGTACGAATACCGATATTTTTTTCCTGGTACTCACCTATATCGAATACCGATACAGGAAGTCCCATTCAGGAAGCCGGGCGGCGTGTACTGACTCGCCATCTGGCTTCCTGATTAGCTGGGAAGCCGGGTGGCGTGTAGAGAATCGCCGCCGAGCTTCCCGATTAGGAGGGAAGCCATCTCCATGCTCCCTCAACACCAAGTGAGGAGGAAGCATGGAGCTGGCTTTCTGGCCTATCGGGAAGCCATGGGGGGCAGGTAATGACTCGTCACCTGGCTTTCCTGATTGGCCAGCTTCTCGACCAATCATGAAGCCAGCCGGAGAGTTATTACACGCTGCCCAGCTTCCTGATTGGCCTGGGAAGCACGAAGTGAAGAGGGAGCATGGAGCCGCCTTCCTAGCCAATCTGGGAGCTGGGTAGCATGCGATGTCTTGCCGCCCGGCTTCCTGATACCGGAAGTACTCACCCAAACACTCGGTATCGGCACCTATACTGATACTAGTATCGGTATCGGCAGGGGCGCCCCGAGGCCGGGTGTCCCCCGGTCTCCAGTCTGGGTGACACCCTGCCGCGTCGTCATCGCACGTGCCCTAATATACATATAGCAATTTACACATGCATACCTTTAACACAAGCAGCAACCATCTTACCCGTGTACAGCTCCGTGTCTGTGTACTCATCAACTTTCTTATGATGGAGGATATAATCGGAGACTTTGGTTCCTATAGGCGCTTGGACATCGAGCCATTCAAGAGCCACCACATTGCTGGAAGGCTCCATACTGGGAGAAAGCCGAAACCTGCCCAGCCGACAGTAGAGGAAAAAGAATGCTTAATATCTGTTTACATTGTATCTATTCCTCTAAAGATCAATAATATCTTATCAGGAGCAAAGTTTATTACACAACACAGTCTTTGTTGTCTGGAGGGATGAACCAGAAATATGAAAACCTCGACTCAAATCCAGAAGAAGATATTACGATGCAAAGGGCAGGGTGTGGAAGAAGGAAGGCACGGAATACAGATGGAATAGGTAAATGTCAAATCATTTAATGAGAATATTCTGTTCAGAAGCACAGGATGACTTATTTTTTAATTAAAAATGATAATAACTTCCTAGCCAAACTTTAAATAACCGTCAGCAGATCTACTGCAAATAAAACCCGATCTCGTCTGAATCAAGCAGTTTACTATCACGAAGCTTAGAACACAGAAAAGCTGATACCCAACATGATTGTCTTTAAGGATGCCGGCACGTTTGCCAATTACATATCAGGATTAGGCTTATAGAGAACCCCACAACTGGTCTTATGGAATTATATATTCAGTTTTGACTCTTTCGTGATCCGATGTCCATTATGCCTAACTGTCCAGGCCAAATTTATCAGTGACATTTACTCTTTGACTAATATGCATACCGAATTAGTATTTAGGCATTTTTGTAAAGGACATGTAAGGTACGCTGACCCTGTTTTATATTACAGGCTGACAAATGCATATACAGGTGAAACTCGAATAATTAGAATATCGTGCAAAGTTCATTTATTTCACTAATGCAACTTAAAAGGTGAAACTAATATATGAGAGAGACTCATTACATGCAAAGCAAGATAGTTCAAGCCGTGATTTGTCATCATTGTGATGATTATGGCTTACAGCTCATGAAAACCCCAAGAACCCCAAATCCACAACCTCAAAAAAGTAGATTATTACATGCAATCAATAAAACAAGGATTGTGCATAGAACAATATCGGACCTCTGAAAAGTACAAGCATGCATATGTACTCAGTACTTGGTTTGGGCCCCTTTTGCAGCACTTACTGCAATTACTTTTGCACGATATTCTAATTATTCGAGTTTCACCTGTAAAACTTGACTGGCCTGCACAGAGTCCTGACCTCAACCTCATAGAACACCTTTGGGATGAATTAGAGCGGAGACTACGAGCCCGGCCTTCTCCTACAACATGAGTACCTGACCTCACAAATGGTCCAACATTCCCATAGACACACCCCTAAACCTTGTGGACGCCTTCCCAGAAGAGTTGAAACGGTTATAGCGGCAAAGGGCGGAGCCAACCCAATACTGAACCCTACGGACTAAGACTGGGATGCCATTAACGTTCATGTGCTTGTAAAGGCGTCCCAATACTTTTGGCAATATAGTGTATAGATAGATAGATAGATAGATAGATAGATAGATAGATAGATAGAAATCACACAATCGAAAAGCTGAACCTGTGACCAGATTATGGATATTTCAGTATTTACATATTCTTAACAAGCAGTAAATGAGCTAGCTCTCGCTGAACTCTGTAGCTGCAGGCACTGTGGAGCCATTCACTCTCAGCTTCACAGCAGAAGCAGTGAGGTCCTTCTTCTTTTAACAGCTTAGCTCGCCCTATATCCCCCTACTCTGTATTTACATTTAGGATATGAGGGCTGGGAAGTTGAGGGAACAGAGTTAGCTGAGCTGTTGAGGGATCAACGTCAATGATTTCAGTGAATCAGAAGAAATCTACTCGCCAATTCTAATTCTGACTCTGGGACAGGAAGTGAGGTGAAATTGTTGCAAATAGGACAAAACACTGAAATCACTGTTTTTAAGTAGACTAGAAAAGGATTAGAAGGTCTCTTTTTTTTATTGTGGTCTGTGACCTTGATGTGGTGAGCCCCTTGACTCCCCTCATGGTCACTGGGAAAGGATATAAGGAACATCTTCCCCATTGGGAAATAACATTTTGGCAAGAGTCTAGTTTCATGCTACAGGGGCATCTCTACCATTCCCATGCATTTGTGTGTTCAGATATTGTAACATTGTTTCAGGAGGAGTTCCTTACACGGGTGGAAGAAGGGGGCTGCAGTTGGGCAATCCATTCTCATCGAAGGCAGTAAGATCACACCGACACCAATCTTCGATGACTTCTCCCTTCCCGGAACACCAGTACAAGCTCATGAATGCATTTTTGAAGACCTGCAGGGTTGATGACATCATTATAACAAAGAAGATGAACCCTTCTGCATACAGACCCATTTTTTTTCATAAAATGTACATTTTAGGCCTAATTCTTACTTAAAACCCCCAATACATCTTACATGTTCTGTACGCAGAGACCCTGTAGGATAAAATGGCGGGAACATATCAAGCCCTTCTTTGGAATTTTTCCAGTTATTACTCTGGTCCTCTTTGTCAGCAAGCTTAAGGGTATATCTTCCCAGATTCCCTCCTCCCCACCAACTTTATGGCAGCGCAGTGGCGGGGGGTCTCTTACGAACTTACGATAGGCTTGTTACAAATTGCATACTGTATATGTATTTTGTTTTAGATTTGATTTAATTAATAAAACAATCTGCTGAACAATCCAGTGCAAGCTGGCTATTGTCTCTTTAGTTTCTGGAATATGCCATTCTCAGACAGGGCCGGCAATAGGGGGATACAAGCAATACTCCCATACCTGGCTCTGGTCTCATCCATTCAGCGGGGGGAGGGGTGCCAGGCGCAGGGCAGTTTCATTCCAGCAGAGTTCTACAGAATAGTGCTGCATCAGTGCAGAACGCTCCTCCTTACCTCTTCCTCCATCCGCGATTGACAGAGGAACTGGTGGGACGGAGGTACATGCATTCTACTGGACAGCATCCTATCAGGTGCAGTCCCTGTTTGGCAGCACCAATGTATACAGGAAGCTGCAGGTGTCATGGTTGCCGAATACAATAGTTGGCAGTGGAGATACCTCCGTACATAGATAGATGGGGGAATCTATTGATTTGCTCTCTTTTTGCCCTAGGGCTGAACAAAAGAAACCCAATCAACCCTCACCTACACTAGTGATGGCGAAACTTTTTGAGCCCGAGTGCCCAGAACTGGTGAGATCTCCAACTGGATACGTCGCATCCGGTGACTTGCCAGTCGGAGATTTGGATGAGATGGCGCTAGTGCGCGTGCGCCAGCCGTGGCAGTTTCAGAATCCTCGTTGAGTTTCCCAATTCCCGTCAGTGCGCCTGCGCGGCTTCACAATTCTTGTCATTGCAAAGCAAAGGCAGCCAATCAGAGAACTTGATACTGCTCTTGGGTCCACTGATGGGAGTTGGAGAATTCGACAAGGACTCTGAAGCCGCGCCGCCACACTCATGGCAATTGGAGAACTTGACGGGGATTCTGACACTGCCACCGCTGGCGCACGGACACTAGTGCCTACTGGCAGGTCCCCGGAAGGGGGGGATACCTCTTATGTCTTATTTCGAGATTAAGAAGAGATAATCGGGAAGCTTTTCCTCCCAATTAGAGATCCAAGCACCACAAGCAAGAAGAGGATTATTAGGAAGATTATTGAGACACCGCTGGATTTATTGCTCTCAGTTGAGAAGATTACATTGAGAGAACAAAGGGAGCCGTATGACTGATGCGCAATTAAGTAAGGTCTTTATAAAATTAGACCAGCGAGTCAAGTGTTTACATCTAAGTGGTTTACATCTAAGTGGTTACAGTTAACATTGTGGGGTAATAGTTATAATTGAAGGGTTGAAAAGGTCACTGATGCTCAGAGGACCTTTGGCATCCGGTCCCGGGTTCTGTTGCTTCTGTCTAGATTATTTTATTGATTATTTTATTTTGATCAAATGTTTTGACTGTTTGGAAACCAGCAGATTCTGAAGACTTGATCCCGGATTATTAAATGTCTTGGATACTTCAATGGTCATATCTTCCATAATTCCCAAACTGGTTCCTGTCAACCTTGGACTTGTTCCTGATTAACTTTGTGTGTTTCGGAACTTATTCAACAGGGAGAATGGAATAACATTGTAATGGCCACGCAAGGTGTGCAGACCCAGGCACTCAAACATCTCAACAACCCCAGTAGGTTTAGGACATTGTCAGGTGGTCGCCCTCCCAATGCCAAGGGCATGTGGCCTGGTATGGTTTAGGGAAGGGGGTGCTCACTCGACCCCTCCCTCCCTTTCCTGCCCTGCCAGGCTGCTGCCCAAATTAAGGGTCTGGGCAAGGGATTTTAGGGGGGACCCCGCTGGGTTTTTTTTTTGCGCTCCCTTAAAACTACCAGACCTAAAGGGTCTGATATGAATTGTTGGGGGGACCCCACTCTGTTTTTCTTTATTATTATTTCTGTGAACAGTTAACCCCTTAAGGACCGAGGACTTAAAAAAAAAAAATTGGGACCGGAAGTGATGCAATACGCGAAGGATGTTCGCCACTCTCCTCCACAGCTTCCCGCTGACACACGGCAAGCCGGCCCTGGGCCCGTAGGAGGGGCACCGGAGCCCAGAAAACAAGGCGGGGGTACTGGGAGGGGGGGGGGGGCGGCCCGGTTACTGGATCGCAGAAGCAATCTGGTGGCAGCTGAGCTGCCAGAATCACTTCTACTGTAAAGCCGGTCGCCGGCTCTACAGACTAGACGCCGGGAGTCTGTGTAACCCTTTTCAGACTTCATGATGGGATTACCCAGTCATGGGCAGCTGTCAGATTCTTTATATTCGGGATGGAAGTGTCCTCAATATAGCAGAAGCTGTTACAGAATAATACAGATCTCTCAGCTTCTTTCTTTCTTTACATTTTGTAACAATATTCTGTTACTTTGTTGTCATTCGGGATACAAGTGCAGAGAAGCCAGAGAGAGGTAAATGACAGATGTCCCGCTTGTTGTGTTTCCTTTCCGAATGAAATTCGTATGTATCCGAATTTCGTTACCAAACATTCGGATTCGTTGGGATTCATTATTTCTGTCATTCGGAAATTCGAATGCATCCAAATGACAGAATTTACAGAAATTTGCATGAATTTCCATTCAGAACTAAATGAATCGCACAAGTCTAGACACAACGAGAGCAGTACAAGTTTTGGTTGCAAGGGTTTCTTCTATTGCCTTTACGGTTTGGTCTTGAAGAAGGTCAACAGACAGTAAACCTTTTTTTTTTTTTCAATTGGATACAATAAAACAATCACAAAATGTTGGCCTCCAGGCTAGCAGTTAAAAAGTAAAGAGTCCAAACAAAACAGAATCATCCCTCCTGCCTGTGCAATACTGCATCAGCCTCTTGAGCATTTATATCATTCATAACTAGGGATGCACCAATACCGATTCTAGTATATCTAGTAAATGCTCCGATACCAGAACTTCCGGTCAGAGGGAGATTTCCTCTGACCAGCAGTGCCGTGAAGGACCATAGAGCCCGCCTTGCCGGCCAACCAGGAATCCGGGCCGCAGGTAATGACTCGCGGTTTGACTCCCTGATTGGCCAAAAAGCAGGTTCCTGGCACGATGCTGATTGGTCGGGAAGCCGGCTTCCCAGCCAATCAGCATTGAGTCGGCCAAACAGCATGGAGCTGGTAATGACCTGCCTCTCGGCTTCCTTATTAGTTGTGAAGGTGGCTCAATGCCGATTGGCTTCGAAGCCAACTTCCTGGCCAATTAGCATGGAGCAGGCTTCCCGGCGAATCAGGAAACAAGGCAGCAGGTAATGAGCCACCTTCCGGCTTCCTGATTGGCTGGGAAGCCAGCTCCATGCGCAATTGCTGGGATGACGGCTTCCCGGCCAATTAGCATGGAGCCAGCCAAAAAGCATGGGGCCGGCTTCCCAGGCAATCAAGATAATGACACACTGCCCGTCTTCCTGATTGCCCGTGAAGCCAGCTCCATGCTACCGGTACTACCAAAAAAACGTTATTGGTGCATCCCTATTCATAACTATAAGTTGTCCCACATTGCCACCTGGGTCCCCTGGGGCCTCTGTTACTTTATATGACATACATGAACGTGAATGGCGCTGTAACAGATCGTTTGTTGTTTTTAAATGACGTATCCGTCTTTATTTTTGGCCTCGGAAGCTGCTTTTAAAAAAAACGCATCACATGCATAACACAGATGGATGAATGAAATAGATCATAAAAAGAGTATTCACCTCTCGTGTAGCATTATCTTGAATTAAATTATACAGAGGAGTGATCCGGTTAATTTCCAAGAGAACTGGGATAGGGCTGACTTGCTCCTTGCCAGCTCGTCGACACAAGTGGCAGCTTGCCGGGCAGCGGCCCTTCTCCTCGCAGTGGATTTCGACTCCCATAATGAGTTGGTCATCAGACAGCATTTGAGCAGTCAGCAGCCCTGAGAGGTAAGTGATGAACGGCATCGATTTCAGCTCCTTCTTGCTGCCCAGTTCAGTTGTTTCTACGCATGGAGGGAAAAAACAAATCTGAATTGTTGATCAATAATTCATAACATAAGATGACAATTATTATCGATACGGAGAAGGAGCGCGCCAGTGTCACGCAACACAGGATAACATAATTGCCTTGTACCGGTGGGGGTTTGATTCAATTCCCTCGAGGACTTTATCAGCATACAATTTTAATATCTGTACGTGATTCCTCTGCGAAGCTTTGGTTTCCTGCCAAATTCCAAAAACATACTTGGCACATAGAGAAAGTATGGATATGCGACTGTGGTTGACTGGGATCATTACCCTGTTTCCCCGAAAATAAGACCTACCACAAAAATAAGACCTAGTTGTAACCATTCCCAGGGCCGGTGGTGGCATAAGGGGGAACTTGAAGAGCCGTGGGAGAGGAGGGAGAGAATCAACGTGCCAACGAAGCCAGCGCTATAGGAAGCGAGGCGGCAGCGGAGGGAGCAGAAACGCATAAGCCAATGCCTCCTCTATAGCGCCGGCTCCTGTCACAGGCGGAGTGATACCAAATGCACTCCCCGCCTGTGAGGAATCCATAGTGAAAGCGCGCTTCGCTCATTCTGGTTACCAAATTGCTTTTGGAAAGGTACGGCACCCCTGATTGCCCTGATCACCCTATTCTTAACTTTGCCATTTTGGATTATTTAATTTGGATTTGCATTAACTTTGGATTGTTGCACATTAAAAAAAAATAAGGCCTACCCCGAAAATAAGACCAAGTGTGTTTTTTTTAACCAAAAAAAATATAAGACAGTGTCTTATTTTCGGGGAAACACGGTATTAGCTGAGAGACTAATGTTTGTAACGGATCAGCAATTCTTCCCCAAAGGGGTTAGGATCTCAACTGCGGAGAATAGGCGGTGAGTAGAAATTACTTGAAGGAAGGAGGTGGTTCAGGATTGGGAGACCTCCGTGACCCTCTATTATGGAGGAGAGAGGGTAGGTCCCATATGCATCATATACCACCTGCTAAAGGTTCACCACACACCACTGTATTACACTCACACAGGGCTATACACAATGTGGTATCATATAACCTAAATAAGGTATTCAATATCTAAATGTATTGTTCCCAGTACCGCTTGGTAACATAACCCTCAGACCCAACGGTTTTTGGCAAGCAAGCCAACTACTGCACGATGAAGGAACAATTCAGGTACAAGGTTAGCTTAGAGATCACAGTCAGTGCAGAATTCTATACACTTCTCAACATGTGAGTTTGACATATAACAGATTACTTGCGGTTGCTGTAGTAGGAAGTAATGCAGCAGGAAGTATGGCATCCAATGGATTACTGGAGATGCTGTAGTAGGCAGCAATGCCGAGTTGCTGCAGTAGGTAGTAGCCAACTGTAGGGTCGAGGCTTGTACGAGGTACTGGCCGGTTCTGGGGGAGGATGCTCAACGTTCAACCACCTTTGCTTGGACGCCGAGCAACTGACACTGACTCCGCTTTCACGAGTGGACGCGTCTAGGGGGCTAGGCTACGGCGGTGACGGCCTCTCCTCTGAGAGATGAGGTGATGTCACCAGAATGGGCGGAGCTATCATGTGGCCGGACCGCCGGATGGAGGTATGTGACAATGTTAAAGGGTAGGTGTCAGGGCTGGATTAGGAGCATCATGGGCCTGGTGCCGAGGATTCTCGTGGGAATCAGCAGAGGTGACTCTCTAATTTGGTGGTCACTCGCTCCTCACTGGGGCCCCGCAAGGCCCCAGCATGCAGCCTCCTAAAATGCCTGTATAGAGCCACTGGCACCTCTGTCTGATTGTGTACTAAAATTTTTCTGGACCTCGGAAGAATGCTGGACCGCGTCACTTCCGGTGACAGAATCTCAGGTGTTGGAGGCATGCTAGGCTCAATGAGCATGCACCCTTGTTCTATAATATTTCTCGACCCATAAAATTTCTCGACCGCGTCACTTACGATCATCAGAATCAGCGGTTTTCCTGACGACCTTTCTTCACGCGCATGCGCACCAGGAAGTGGTGCGGTCCAGGAGAATTACAGGCCACTCACATGGTGGTGTCGGAAATCTCACTGATGAAAACCAGGGCCAACCTGAGGGACATGGAGCGGTGGGTTGCAGCAGCATAAGTGGCCTTATAGGAAGTGATAGGAAATGTTAGGGGTCGAGAAGATTTATAGAGCAAGGGCGCGTGCTTATTGTGCCTAGCATGCCTCCAACAGCTGAGACTGTGGTCCAGTTATAGTTACATAGTATTTGAGGTCGAATAAAGACACAGGTCCATCAGGTCCAACCTTTGTGTGTCTGTATGTGATTGTGCATGTTTGTGTGTGTATATGGATCCCTGTGTGGTCTAGTTTTTAAGAGTACCTGTACCCCTGTATGTTGTGGTCTCTGAGGAAGGTCCAGAAAGATTATAGAACAACAGCCCAGATTGCCATTGGGCATTCTGAGGCAATCTGGGCTGGTCGGGCCTATTTTCAGTGGTGAGTCTGGAGCTGGTACCCCACTAGCCCTATGTTAGTCTGGCCCTGGTAGGTGTTCTTTCAGAACACCCTTTTTCTTACTAGAGTTACTCCGTGAAATTTGGATGTTATTGGATTCAGACCAAATTTCATCAATTTGAATGTCCCAAACTGAATCCAAATTTCAATGTTGTTTTTGGCAATTCAAATTCCCAAAACAGGAACCAATGGCGCTCCAAGGTTTGGTTCTAGCTTATAGCCTGTGGACCATTAGCTTGACTACCAGTGCCACTAGGTCCCACACCTCTATCTTGGCATCCCTGGTCTTGTTAGGCAAGGCTGCCGAAAGCTTCCCAAACCACTTGGCACAATCCCGCACCTTTTTCTACTCTATAATACACAATATTTTGAGCCTAGTTCAGATTTTCATTGACTTCAATGGGGCTTCTGCTTCAGAAAATCCAAACTTTGGAGGTTCACAAAGAAATGATTGAAACACAACTAATCAAAATGTAATAAGTTCACATATTTCTAATTCTTACCTATCACTGAACCCTTCAAAATAGTAAATTGCAAGAGGTACCTATTTTGCTTTTTTCATTTTTAATATGGAGTTGCTATAACATCCTTCAACCCTCTGGGAAGACTTTCTACAACATTTTGCAGGGTGTTTGTTAAAATGTGTCCTTTATTCACCTCTGTGGGGTCTACGGCGGGCTCTGCAGGATCTCAGGGGGCTTTGAAGGATCTGTGGCGGACTCTGACGAGTCTATGGTGGGCTCTGCGAGGTCTCAGATGGGCAGTGCAGGGTCTCAGGTGGGCTTTGCAGCCTGGAACCCTGCAGAGCCCACCAGAGATCCTTCACAGCCCACCTGAGAACCCGCAGAGCCCACCACAGATCCTGCACAGCCCACAATAGACACTGCAGAGCCCACCATAGATCCTGCAGAGCCCACCATAAACCTCGCAAAGCCCACCACAGATCCTGCACATGTCACCATACACCCTGCAGAGCCCACCATAGACCAAGCAGAGCCCACCACAGATCCTGCACAGCCCACCTAAGACCCTGCAGAGCCCTCCTGTGACCCCATCTTTCCTGCTTAGCTAATAGCGGAACATGTCAAAAGCTGGATACAACGTGCACGCCATATCCAGCGTCATATCAAGTCTTAAACAGGAAGGGGTGGGGCAAATTTAGAGGAGGGGGTGCCTGAATTTAATCTTGCCTAGGGCAACTCCAAACCAAAATACACCACTGCCTTCATTGGAAACACAGAGACTCAATGATCCGGAGGGTGTCCATATACTTTCATCAATATAGTGGGTATCATAGTCAAGTGTCCATGAACCTTTAGCCATGCAGAGTATATCACTCCCTATGGGTTTTTTCAGGCATATTACGCCAGAAGGGAATACGTCTAAATTTTTTCTACAAAACTAGATATATCTTTCGATATTTTCGGTCAAGCGCCGCTGAATACACGAATGCTACTTAAATGAAGGCAAATGATAAGCCAGTTCACCTCCCACAAACAATTAACAACAATGCATAAATGCTACCACCGCTACACATAATAATAACTCGAAATATAATTATAATAATAACAATAAACAGGGTCTTCCAGTTGTTCTAGTTAATGTTATGCTGAAATCAGGGATAACACACCTAATTTGTAAATAATAAAACATATAAAAATTGTAATCCTTGCAAGTCTAGAACGTTACCATCCTGGAATGGAAATCAATTATGTAAAAATTTGTGTTCCAATGCCATCTACTGGCTCAAATTGAGAAATACAATATACAAATCCGTCAGATGTGAGTTTCTAAAGGGAAGCTAGAATGGTTTTTAGTCATTTTTGTTTCTTTTAGGCTTCTGCGTTTTCAAACTGATGTTTTATATCGAAATAAGCATTAAAAGTGACAATAAAGGATCATTTTTTTCCCCTCCCCCCCATGTCAATGTCAGCACTTACCTTAAATAATGTCTCTTAATCCGATCTTCCTCTTCTTTCCCTCCAGCGGTGCGGCGGCTCTCCGATCCAGTGCTGACTCCTCTCTGCTTACAGGCACTTCCGATCCAGCGGTGTCTGCAGGCGGGTGCACGCGTCCATAGACTTACCTTGCGTCTCTGCTCGTCTCCCGGCCGAGAATCCGAAATGCGCATGCGCCAAGATCCTTTGCGGCCGTACGAACAGTTCCAGACTCTCGGCGCGGGAGCGTGCAGCAATATTAAGGTCAGTCTAAACAGCTGTTTAAGCGGGTTTGTCAGCAGTAGATATAGACAAAAAAACAGGAGGCTTTAGAACCCCTTTAATACATCATAAAGGATCCCCAGAGCACTATAGGTCATCTATAAAGACATCGTATCAGTAGTCATCACATGTTGGCCAAGCATAACTTCTTACTGTCCTTCATTTGGAGGGACTGTCCCTCTTTTTTTCCCCAAAATATATTTTTATCAATTTTTATCGCTTCCACAAGTTACAATAAACAGAAAAACATAAGCAATTAATTCAGCCTAATAAAAAAAGGTAATACATAGAA